GCAGCGGTAACATCGACATTGAAAATTGGTAAATACGTGTTACTGTTCTGAAATACTCGTCTGCTAGTACAAATGTTCAAATATGAATGCCATCGTAAGTAACCAATTTTGTTTATCTAGATTAGTTGTTGTTTGTGTTATCATAAACCAGTGTTAGAGCTGTAGATAATAACTTCACTGCCTCTGTGATCAGAAGGCATCTTCAAAAGATTCACTCAACTCGACACTAGCCACAAATTGAGTGTTTTTGTGTGTTCGTAGTAGAAAGGCATCAGTTGGTTTTCTAGACAGCACGGCCGTGAAACGGACTTAACCCTTTGAAGCTAAAGTTCGTCAAAGTTATATTTAAAAATTAAGTTTTTACTTCAAAGACCACGTAAGTCTCTATTACGAAGACCAATATTTAATTATGAGTAAGAAAATAATTACTTATTACTTTGAAAATCGTGTTGAATCTATATATTCAGTGTGTGAGACTGTGGTACACATAGTTACCACTAGAATTTAAAAGGGTTAATTCCGTTACGGATCGGAGCGTTAGACTCCTGTACGTCCGTCTGCACTTATTTTATTAGGTTTATAACACATGGGCAGACTTTTAAGGCTGTTACAGATCGTTTAAGTGGAGGTAATTTTTAAATTGTGTTCCACGATAGCATGATAGGGGTCCCGATAAAATATTTGTAACAAGAACACATATACGACAGCCCAAAAGAAATTTAAAATCTCCACCAACATTTTGTGAATTGCTGTTATTAGGAATCGAACCCAGTATTGTTTTTTGTGTTTATAACTTTGTGTTCTTTACGAAGTGGTATGTTTTTATATAAGTCTGGAATAAAATTCGAAAGGATTATATAATTACATATTTACTTCATAAATCCTGTCATATTTTGACGTAAACTGAGGGAGACATTAAATCGAGCGTTTGTACGAAGTTGTAATATTTGAAAACAACTTATTATGAAAGAAATATTGTAAGAAAATATTATATTGGGTTACAAATCCTCAAAACTAGGGCAAGTCTCCCAAATTCTACGTGAATGTTAACAATCACACGCAGGCCTCTATCTTTGCCAGTATTTGTTCGTATACCCAATATAGTTTCGATGGATTAATTTTTCTTATGGTAATCCAAGATAACATAAATTGAGGCCCACCTGCTGAAGATCTCCTTGAGCTCATGTTCTGACACAAACTGGCCCAAGTTGGCGACGAACAGGGTGGAGCATGGCGCATTGCTCACCCCGACGCCCGGCTGAGACGAGGATGAACCGACAGGCGATGCCAGAGCAGGCGACGGCAAGAAGTGTGGCAGCGTTGCGTGGATCGACGTTAGTGCTGCCGTCGGATGAGGGATGGACAGAGGGGGCTGCTGAGGCAACACAGAAACAAGAGTTAGAAAACGAGTGTCAGTGGCGGCTCGTGCCTCGGGAACCTTGCAGGTCCAAAACAGCGTACTAATAAATATAAAATATGTTATAAGTCGAAAATAAGTTAAAACAGCAAAATAAACAGATAAATACACATATAAATTAATTATATAAAACATTGTGCTTTATCATCTTCACTTTATTACAATTTTCGCAGCTATTTTATAATGTTCGTTGACATCGAACTGCGTGTTTCGACTAAAATTGGCCATAATCAGGTTTCTTAGACTGCACCAAGAAACTGCATATTTTCAACGCAAATAGTTATAACTAATATATGATATGTGATTAAAGTTTTTTTAATGTCAATGGTAGAATAGCAGCTAAAATAGTCCACAGTCGATGTGTTATAATAACTGTTTCGTTTTTGTTTTGATTTTGTTCTGTGCTTCGGTGTGTTGGTTACTAGATATCAGTTATTAGAACACTCCATCGGTGGGCTATTTTATTCGCTATTCTACTATTTGCACGCTGAAATGTGCGGTGACGTAAGTTCAATAAAACAAACCTGACAATGGCTAATTTTAGTCGAAACATGTAGTTCTACATCAATTAACATTTAAAAATGGTGTAAAGTGTGTGATAAGATGACAGCGATAAAGCACAGTTATATATAATGAACAGATTAGGATGCTACACTGCAGAATTGAACTAGACAAAACAAATATATAAACAATAATATTGTTTTTAGGACCGGAAAATATTTTTATAACACTCCTGTAGATCTCGGTTCAAATACATTATTTAATTCTGCACCTGCTTTTTTGAGAATGATTAATGGTGATATAATCTGCTTAAGTTATTTTGCGTCGAATGACTTGAAGAGATTATTAAGCAAGGTGAACAGAAAGGAATTGAGAAGGAAGCGGCTGTGGCCTATATCCCGGCATTCACCCGGCAGAGCTGAGGAAAACCACAGCAAAATCACAACAGCTGGGGCTGCGGCCGGCATCAAATTAGTTACCTCCGAGTCAATGTACCATAGTTCAGGTGACCCATCTCTGTTATACGGATAGTCATAATACGAAGTTATTGTCCCGACATGAGAAATTAAGATGGCTGCCTTCTCGAATACTGCTCACGGACCCCTCAGAAGTGTAAGCCATGTTGGATTAAACTGGCTAAAGACATGGACCAGTGGTGGGCTCATGTGAAATCGGTAACGAGCCTTCGTGTTCCACAAAATACAGGTAAGTTCTTGAAGAGCCGAGCTTCTAACACAATTCTGCTCAGAAGAGTTAATTATTTGATTAGTCACGTATTCGAAATGGCATTAAAATTTTGGAATGTCCTTTAATTTAGAAGTCGTGTGGATGATATGTTCGCAACAGAACTGAAATTATTACTGGACCACATTGTATCTCTTTGTAAACCTGACATAATTTTTAAATATGCTACTTTAAAAAAAGTGTAAAGCAAACGTGTATATTTGAATGTAAAAGTGGTATACGGAATTTCCTATTCCAGCCTTTGTTTACTGAAGTTTCAAGCAAAGATATAACGTTATTTATTGCGAAAACTAACCAATGAGAAAGTTACCTTGCTTATATGTAACCCAAATGTTTATAACCGTGTTCACAACAGCCGCCAACGGCACCTATCGCGAGCCAAATAAATCCAATCAACACCCAATATATTTCCCGAAGAATCCATTTTATTATTTTCCTCCAATCTACGTTTGGGTCTTCCGATTAACCTATTCCCTTCAGGCCTTCCGCCCAAAATTTCTAACGCATTTCTCGTATCCGCTATGCAGTATTAAAGCTTCGCTCATATAATCCGCCTTGATTTGTTCATCTTAATAACATCTGGTGAGGAATACAAATTAGTGAGATCATTATGCAAACAAAATTATAACTACTTTGTCATTTTAAATGTATAAATTATGTAATTTAACGACGTAAGATAGACCACTATGAAGTTAAATAATGAACATAATTTATAGACACTAAATGGTAACTGAACTCCTCGTTCCATGCAGGTAACGCCACTGCTCTCCTAGTAGGGTTAATCAGAAATTTCTGTGGCCCAAAGTAATTTACGTTTATAGTCATTTAGTACGGCTACTGAATTCATAAAGCACTTTATACTCTGTGTGACCACAAACATTCATAATGACGTAACTGGATAGGAATTAATCCTGTCACGGCACCGGGATGGACACTTGGACACTCACTCCTCTCGCCTTTGCTGTGACTTTCCCAGGAACGCAACCTGCTACAGCGAATGCGGTCATCTTAATGACTTATTCAACGTTCACGGCCGTAACTAAACTGGCTACTGAAATCTAAGTAATAAAACAGAATCTGGTCCTTACAGATCAATGGTAACAGAACATGCCTTCCGTTGCCTAGCAACACGAGTACGTGACATGACCATCTACACCTGCACTCTAATACCTAAACTTTTACTATTTCTTACGTACCACGAACTGTATTAAACGCTTTAGCCGCGGAAGCCCAGTCAATATAGTGTTTAACTACCAACTGGACAACCGGGTTTCGATCCCGGTAAGGGTACAACATTTATCTTCTAGTCTCTGCATCCAACACAGACTCCTTTGTCTGGGTGTAAAGCGGGTATGAGCTAATATCTCCTCCCCCATAAGCTCCAACACTGAGTGTAACCGGAAAGCAGCTTTGCTTTACGTTGACCGTACAAAATCCCGTAAAACTAAATGATGTGGATATCATAACATGATAAATGGACGACTGACCTCAAGTCACAATAAGGTCTCGGTGTTTTCACAATTAGCATTCAGATTTTCCCTCTGCACTTCAAGATTTAAGGGGCAGTGACATTTATGTGTCGGCAACCACCAGCTTTAACATCGGCAATTTTGGCACTTTGCCCGCGGAGTGTATTTATGGGTTTAATTTTGTTCGCAGTACAAACAATGATTGTCAGTTGGACTGGGTCCATTTATTAACGAAGTCCCCAGAGTAGAGTCTTCCGAAAGAGCCTGGTTGTGAAGCAGACCTTGTGCTTAATTAAGCACCACGCTATAAAGACGTATGGGAAAGTGGGGATATAGCTTCACACATTAACCTTGACTTAATGCCCAGTTCACATTTTTCCCATAGAGATCCCGATACTAAAATAATGGGAAACTGGATGGGACTCAGAGCCTGTCTGGAACTATTGGGGACGAGAAAATATCTTGTAAATGTGTTCCAGATCAAAGGTTAGTCACTATACTGATTTATTTCGAAATAAATGTTAAAATAAACGAATAGCGACTTGCGAGAAATTTTTGTTATTCTCAGTAACTGGTACAGAATTTCATAAATCGAAAATCGTGACAAAAATAAGAATCTCACGTTGTCCCTCTTGAAATTATAACAAATATTACATTGTTGCATGCGACTAGATTGTGGGTTCTGGCGCTGTTGCTAGATTATGCGAGGATTACGGGCTTTAAAGTTGGCAGGGGCTGCTAAGGGTGAGATTCGCTAGGACGTGCACCCCCAGGATTAAAGTGGCAATCGTTTGCTGCGTTTTCAGTCAGGTTGAACACATTCAATGACAGTGGTCAGCCCAAAGCTGGAGACAGTGATGGCCTACAAACTGTAACCAGGAAGTGAAAACAGATTTCGTAAAACTAATAGAAATTACTAGAAATGAACCAACGTCCCGACCAAATGATTAGCACTTCGTACTCGAGAGGTCCCGGGTTCTAATGTCGGCCTGGAAATAGGCTGTCCTGGTTGAGGTTTTTCGTGGATTTCCTCAGTTCCTCCAGCAGATGCTGGGTTAGTACCTTAAATTAGGCCACGACATATTTCCACATCCTTTCCAATTCATTGGATTAAAAGTCAATTATTCGACGTTTTACAGCCTGGGTTACTAACAGCAAAACTAAATTAATCAAAAATAAATAAAATATTAATAGAATTGATCCAATTCAAGTTCAATTGAAACGCGCAGTAAATAATTCACAGGCCAAAAGTTTACGTCATTTTAGGCCGATAAAGGAAATAAAATAAAAAAAATTCGTCGTCATTTTAGGTAAAGATATTTGTAGAAGAATAATTTACACAATTAACGAAACACCGAAGGAATGAAAAATCGTCGAATATCTGGGCTGCCTTCTATCATAAGATGACGAGAAGGACACGCGATCAAAATTATGAAAGCAAATTGTGCACGTATCCAAACCCTCGTTAGTACGAAACATATTAAATTATATTTATTAAACTTTCACGAGACAGGAGTCGTTTCACAGAATTACGAATAGAAAAGAAGACAAAGATTATTGGAGAACTGCACGTTTCACATACACGAAAGCAAGATTAAAGCACTTTAGAAGAATTACCAATGAAATCAATCTTCATGTCTGTAAAATATTACGGAACTAATCGGACATACCAAATAAGAAGAATGAAAAACATCAGAATGTTAACGCAGACCACAGAATATAAGAAAAGAGAAATCCCCTGAAAAAATAACATTAACACCATCTTGCCTATGCACTTTGAAACAACATTTTCTGTCAAATCAATTGCAGAAAGTAGAGATTTTTTCCCATCACGTGATACAGAAACCGAGTATATTTCACAAAACATGTGAAACTATTGTTCAAAGTCCTCTGATATCCAAACTGTTTGTCCACCTGTAAAATCAGAATTATTAATAGGCAATGACCGTTCGGTGGCGATATTTCCGAGGAACAGAGAATATTTATGGGTTTTTAATGACGGACGATGCAGGTGACATTCAGAGTAGATCTAAAATTTATTCAGAGGCTTGACAGGGAGACTATTTTGACGTCTCCGCAAAGGCGACAATGCTCTGGAGCATGCAGTTTGAATGAAGTGCCAAAGCCCGCATTTGGACATGTCAGCAGGCAGTAGGTTTCCATGTCCGTCATAAAATATACACACACAGGCGCAGTACCCACACTGAGACCATCTGCGGATATTCGACAACGCCATTCTAGATTCTTGACGTTAAAACAGTGCAGACGGCAAATCTGAATTCTCCGACTGTTTTATCTAAAACGACGTTAGGATGCTCTTGTTATAATACACTCAGTCATCTTTCACGGGTATAAGAAAAATCATAATCTAATCCACGATTGACGTCTAATAAGATGATGAAATCGACAACCGATAATAATGTAACAATATTCTAAGCAAACCACGATTTGGTCATATCACGGAACGCTATCTCTTTTGACAAGCTGATATTTCGTTAGCTGGTAAATAAATTCGCCGGTTTTTAAGGAATTCGAAATTTGATGCAAACAAAAACTAACCACTGGTGCCTGTTCTGATCTAGATGAATCCAATCGTACATCCTTACAGCATATGTTTCTAAGATCCAATCAACTTACTCCAAACAGAGTCCTTCTTGAGAAGCTAAAATTCTCTCAGCTGATAGAGAAGTTCTCGCTTTTCATGAAACGTGATATTTTATGTCAAGTATCTATAACTGGACCATATCCTGAGCTACTTTAATCCAGTGGACATACGCACACAACCTCTTTCTTTAAGATCCATTAAACTAACTGGATAAAACAGATTCCTTCCTGAAGAGCTGATATTAGCTGAAGTGATTAAATATTCCTCACATTTTATGGAACGCGAAGGGTCATATCGCGTTCACATGAGTTTGGAAATGGTTTCTATCTTTAGCCAGCCGAATGTAGTCTATATATATCAGCATTAAAGTGACTTGTTACTGCGTACAAGATATTAATATCACGTGCGTCACTTCGTACACGAGATGCATTTATGCTCAAGCTGTGTGCCGAGATTACAGCACGTTACACTATTAACTAATGGATTACACACATATTCAAGTACCTTCGACCGATCCTATGCAGGTCACAGTGTGTCATTATATATGATACTTAACGTGGAAACCAGCGATTAGCTTGATCATAATGCTGTAATGTCGACATGTGACATACATCACAACACACTCTAGAGAAATCCCCACACGAAGGTCAACGTTCCCCGAATTGTTAAACTTTTCAAAGGTATCGAATATTTAACTTACTACGTAGTCTGCATATAACGGGATTGATGTCCTAATATTTTGTCACATCGGAAAACAATTTTCAACTGATTGGTCTAATCTTTTTAAAATTTTGTGTGCATGTACGATCATTTATAGCTGGACCATACTTGGCATACTTATTTTTTGAGACCACCAACAAATTTTAAAATGGTTATAACTCAGAAAAAATGTCCTGGGTTCGAGTCCCGGGGTTGATTTTCAGTTTAGGGATAATTTTTTCCTGTAATATTTAACGATATGTGTTGGTTTCCTCTATCTATGACCCCGCTGAAGAGTTTGGACTTACCATTTTCATAATTATTACCAATTGTCGAGAGAACTGGTGCACGGGTCAAAGCAGATTAAATACTTAACTCTGTCACGGTTTATGGCATACGCCAACCTACGAGCCCTACGGAATGCGCCTCTACTTTGGTTGAGGTGTGAAAAGTGAATCAATGATGTGAGTTAATTGTTGCAAACAGTGTTGAAGTGCCATGTGTCTGGGACATCACAGGACAGGCATATGGACTCGGTAACCTTCCATGCTTGGCCAATTCTGTATTCAAGAATGTGAATACTTTCAGATAACTTATGATAGAAACAAAGTTCAAAATTTAATCTTACGCAAATTAATAGTAATGCTGACTGTGAGAAATAGAGTAATTAGCGTTGAGCAGTTATTTATTTATTAAATGTGTTAAATTTTATTAATGTATTAATTTTAAAACATTATACAAAAATGTTTTTCTTGCTTCAATCTGTATAGAAACTGGCAAATTTTGATTTAAACAGTGAAATGAATAGCTAATGGTTTGGAATAAATAAAATGTGATTATAGATCAAGCGATAAAGCGATCTTTCATGCCAAAAACAAACAATAAACGGCCTCATTTTATGGATGTTCCGGCTTAGAGGACTGTATAAAGTATTATAATATTGTATTGTGTGACCGTTCTTTTTAATGTGGGAGGTTGAGACAGGCTGAATATGTTACCATGTGTGTGAAATAAGAATCGCATACAAAATTTTGGTCAAACTTGAATGACAGATACCACCTAGGAGCACTTTTTTAATATTGTATTACTTTTTTACTCGTAATTTCCTTCCTTGCTGTTGTCTAGCTCTTTAATGAATATATAAATTATATTATTAATTATTTTCTCTTAACTACACTGCAGTAATTGCATGTAAAGGAGGACCTGATCAAGTCAAGTGTTTATCATATATATTACACTTATAAATTATTATTAGTCTCCTTTTAGGATAATTTCTGTATGAAGGAACAAGTCTAGATTGATTACATGTTCTAGTCTAATTTCGTTTTACCGAGTCCTTACAATTTATTTTAATTTTAATTAATGTTTGTCTGTTATACTCTCTTCGTTGTTTGCAAATTCTCATAAAATAAATTAATAATAATAATAATTATTATTATCATTATTAAATATTATAACGGACAAGAAAAGACATGAAAATTTAACAAGAATGGCAATCATGAAAGGAAACGAGTCACTTAAAGGGATAATAGTTGTGAATGAAATATGGAATTTGCAAAATAAAAATAATTATAGGGTCCAGCCCACATCGCAGTACGCGGTATACGAAAGTGAGTAGATCTGCCGCTTTTCTTACGTCCTTCAAGTCGGGCACCCATTTGCGCTTGTGAGAATACATGCACCTTTATAAGTGCAACACAAAAGCTGGGAAACCCGTCAAACAACCATTCATAGCGCTTTTGGAGCGTCAGACTTGAGGGGCGGTAATGATCCTGAAAACTCAGGTTCACGTTTAACTGACTTGAAGTTTTTAAAAATATTTATGCAATTAAAACGATGTAAAGGAATGATATGTCAACATCAGCGTTTCACAAATTTAGTAATGATTCCGAAATAAAATTTACCTTTAAAATAATTTCTCTGTAACACCTATGAATGCTCTGAACATTGTGTTTATATTTTTGATGAGCAGAGTTTAATAATATACAACTAAATTATCGATTTAAAATTTAACATCAATCGTCTGCGTCTTAATTTTAAAATATTCTATTATTTTACGTGGCTCATATTCAAATTTATGTTGAAGCCATTGTGACGAAAATTTCTTTACTGTTTCACAGATCGCGGTAAGTATGCATACCACCTAAATTTATGTCTATATTTATATATTTTCTTCACATATTAAGAAAATATTATGGGTTGCATTTCGCAAAAAATTCCCAAAGACCATTAAAATACTTGATGATGATGTTCTGGGTTGTGATGCCGTGTGGACTCATTGATAGTGGTAGTGTAGTAAAAACGTTAAGCGAAATGATTTCACATCAATTACAATGACGTCGTCATATTTGCCGCTGTGAGAATCTCAATCCCACACAGAAATATTTGCATCAGTAATTCTAAAGCGGCCTCTTCTTTGGGGATAAATATAGCATCTTTAAATAGCGTTTCGATGACCTTTGTCCTTTATCACTCTATCCATCTTCATACTAATCCTGTCAAAATGACGAGTAGGCAAAACCTGGGAAACTTGTAATAAATAGATACCCCCTCTCCCTAAAATAAAGTGTCTCGTAATTATTCCCATTTATCATTACACCTACTCTCCCATTAGCTCACTCTTGCCCTTTGAAGTGTTAAGCTGATCAAATTTATTTTTGTTACTGTTATTGTACTTTGACGATTTCTCATTCCCATACGGAATAATATCAAAGCAAATTTTATTCTATGGTTACAGGCCTATATTTGGGTATTCTGCCGAGACACTTGTTTACGTATACATAAATTTTGGAATATACAGTGAAGACATTTGACAGCTGTGCCGCTAGGAGTAGGAATACCGGCAGCGGAGCCAGTGACGGAGTATAGCGGAGTGGCCGCGCAGTGCTGAAAAATATCTTCACTGTATAGATACTAAATAACCCAGTGTCTTCTCGCGTGACCGGCGCGGTGGCGTTGTGAACTAGACCCAGTGTCATCTGTCGGGCATATAAGTAAAAGAGTATAACAACTAACATGATGGTGGCTGCCAGGGGCTGCCTGATGCAGCTGAGTTTCCGCGGGGGTAGGTTTGTCTGCAGATAGTCAAAGATAGGAACGTACGGGGACCTGGGGGTGCAGCGCGGGGTGGACCAAGGTGGCATGTTGTAGCGCTGCCCCCGGTAACTCTGCCGCTGCTGCTGCTGCAGCCGCAGAATAAGCCAGTTGATGGTGCCAGAGTTCAGGAGCCCCCGGAAAGAAAGGAGTCCCCATATCTGAAAACAAATTATCAGAAGTTAAGTAGTTCGTCTTACACATTGTTTATATACAATTTGCTGGTCAAGACATGGATTCTGTATGCATTTAACCCTTTAAGTTAAGACGGTAAATCCAAACACACACATTTATTTAACATAAAACCACTTTGTATTTTTTCCACAGAGTGTAGTTATTGGCCTAGTATGATTTTTTTGGAATAAAATACTTTTTTCCCTCAGCAATATCAACCAAATGCTTTCTTGTTGCCAAGAATCCACTGACATACATTTTCTATTCACGCAACTAAGTCAGATTAAAAACACAAAATTCCTCTTATCTTCAGAAACAACAACGGATTATACATACAAACACATACAATCAGAAATACAACTAAAATAAATGAGTAGATGTGAAGTGTTAATAAGTTTGCCAGATGGTCTGTTAAAGGCAAAACCAAATTGAATGCACAACAGAGATCACAAAATAATTTCAGTAACAACACATAACCATGTATGATTTGAGGTTTTCACATACCGCCTCCGTCATCAGGGCGATGCGATGAATCGCCCTGATGACGGAGGGAGTATGACCTCTGAAATGTTGGTAAACATCGACCAGACTACACGGCGCAACAACCCAGAAGACAGAAAGCTTCATCGCCCTGATGACGGAGGGAGTATGACCTCTGAAATGTTGGTAAACATCGACCAGACTACACGGCGCAACAACCCAGAAGACAGAAAGCTTCATCGCCCTGATGACGGAGGGAGTATGACCTCTGAAATGTTGGTAAACATCGACCAGACTACACGGCGCAACAACCCAGAAGACAGAAATCTTGATACATAACCAATTACTGAAGTCACTTTGTTGTACTAAACATTATTACATTTTCCCACATGGTTGCGGTATCGATTCAGTTTAGAATTGTAATGTCTTACACTACACATATTTTGAAGAAATTAATCATAAAATGAATCACTTTGCATTGTTTTGAGTTTACTGATACTCATGAACGTTTTATTTTCGTAATCGAGACACGGAGTAAATAATGCAGTTCTCATTGAAACTGCAAATCAGACAGAATCACAGCGACATAAAATACGAATGGTGCAGTCACGTGATCTAACACACGACAACTGACCAATATTACTAGACGCTGCTTAAGAAATCCGGTTATTTAATGGTCAGGCGTAGGACCTTCGGTAGGTTTTATTTATTTTGAAAATATTATTTTAAAAGTAAGATATTATGCTTCTAGAAACGAATTTCGACAGATTAAGAGCTTGAAAATACCTATATTTCCTCAGAACATTTTCACTTCTACAATCAAACTTCCACTAATGAAGACAATGCCTATCCGGTGCTTCAGACCACTCCATTAATTTATATACAGGACGTAAGAACACATCTCCTGCCATAAGTACCTTGGGGAAGTAATTCGTGATACGATTGAAGTAGAGATAAGTTGAGTTCAAGCCGTACCAGACAACGTGGTACATATATCCTTAACGACACTGGGAAATCCAACTTCGGCCAGCGGTCATTTTACCAAGAAACTGAGAGTTTTCACATTTGTTAAATTCAATATGTATTTTATTCTCTTAAAATTTCTATCAGAGATCCTTTTATTAATAAAACATGTTAATGGGATTCTTTTCATTAAAGTAATTTGAATTTGAATACTGCTTATATAAGAATTATTTCTGTATTGAAGAGAAAAGTGAGAAATGCTTGATATATAAGTTTATAAGCAAAGAAAAAAACGAAGCTATTCCAATGCCGGCTCATTCATTCCTTCGTCCAATTAATGAGTTTCTTTAAATTATCAAACAATGGTGTGTTATAGCAGAACATATGAATAATTTGTATTGGCAACCATAAAGAATTAAAATTTTATGTGAGTGATAACATTAAGCCTACAATTACAAATATCTTGGTAAGGACACTCAAGGGATTCAAAACTGGCCCGGTTACGGTAAAATAATTATGATATTCAGAAACTGCGTACGGTTATTATTTAAAGAACAACCTTCTCTATGTCATTTCAGAGAAATGCACAAAATCTCTGAGATTACACTAATTTACACTAACATCTCTGAGAGCATGAAGACAATTGCTCAATATTCCGAAAGCCCATACATTTGAACTGTCCTCCTTGTTGTAATAAGAAAGAACTGCAATAATAAAAGAAGAGAAAAATCCCCCCTACTTCATAGAGGGGGGAGAGGGGGTGATAGGGATAAATGAAGTCCGTTAAGTTGATGGAACGCAGGGAGGAAAACAATGTTTCCTGCTGCTGACTGCTTGCCTGCATCATCTGTCGCTTGGAACAGGAAAGAGAAATGTACAAGGTGGAGATAGAAACGCCACAATACCTGGCTGGAGAGGGGTCCTCCCGTTCCTAGCACCGACATCGTCTGCGTAATCATCCTGATGTGAACGAGGCGCCCTGGAAACGTCTGCACCAAGCTGTTTAATTCCACTACGGAAATATTTGAATGGCAGAAATTTAAATTTTCTGAAACCTTTCACACCCGCGACTCGATGTATTTCATCACGACGAAAGCCGATTCTAGCTTTACGTATGAATAGCCATAATAACTGTCTTCCTATCGATAATATCCATCTTGAAATGCAACTCGTTATAAATCAGAATTGAAATTTGTTCATTTATACAAGCCTACAAACATCGCTATAAAGAAACACGAATTCTCCTCATAGTTTAAACCAAACAAACTATAAATCTGTACAAAGACTTCGAGTAATTTCTTGCTCTACTTAAAATTTGTCCCTCTGAAAAGCCGGGATATCTCAGTAGGTAAAGTGACTAGCAAAAGGCTGTAAGAACGACTTTGATTCCCTTAAGGACAATATTCTTGCCTTTACAAAAGTGTTCAAATTAGCTTTGGGATATTCCCAACTTCCTATGCAATGGGGACCGGGGTTGAATCTTCCGGAGTAAAGTGGTCGGAGCGTGAAGCTGACCACTCCACTCCATCTTGCGCCAAGCTTCTGAATGTATGGAATCACACCTCCATTCCCCCATACGTCTTCATAGCGTCATGCTTAGTTGAGCACCAGGGACAGTTTAACCTTTTTAACTGACGAGATCTTCGTTCACGTAATTAAGATTCAGGTGTTAAAATGCTGCAAGAAAGTCAAACGCGCGTTACGAAAGCGTAAATACATTTTATAATGATGAATGCGCTGTGATATCTGAGCTTCGTCATTTTCATGTAATTATTTTCTCACACGCCAGCTGATCAAGAGACTCTTAATGAGATACAGTTCACATATACGAGCGCATTGATACTACAGTCACAAACCGACTTCTTTTGTCTCCATTCTATGATTTTCCCTGCAATTTCCTATTCATATTCACATGTTTCGAACGCCGATGGCATCCTCAGAAGCAACCACCTTTCCAGCAAACCAGTGTCATCTGTCTGTCAGAACACGTAGCGACGGTTAGAACCACCGCACAATTTCCTTCCTCCTGTTTTATCTGTCGTCTCGCAGAGAGATGCTGGATGCTGCACTTCCTCTTCAGCATTACACATCCGTTGAGCAGACAGAGTGTAATGTGGCACAACATAAATTGTGGAGAACGCTTCTGTCTTCTCCTGTTCAAGACATCTCTTAGTACCAAAATTCGTATTGAGAGCATTAACCAAATGGGCCATGAGTTATGTACGTCCAGGTTCAGTTAACTACAGGAATCGTAATGAGTTAGAAAAGGACTCTCTTAATATATCCCATTATACAGGGTGTGCACCAAATAATGTTACAAAATTAAAGAGTAATAACTCATGAACCAATAATCATATCGTTATTCCGACTTATGTCACAGATTCAGAAAAGATGGTAGTTATTTTGACATTTTATACGACAGAAACTTTAGTTACTTAAACGATGACCAAACCATAAATAATTTCGTGTTGAACCGTGTTTCGCTTAGCAGTGGAAATTTTATGTTTGATTCTGTTGTGAGAAAATTATTGACTTGGAGTTTCTTGAACACGAGATTGATAAATTTGTATCAACTGCTTGGCTATGACGGTCCCCAAATAAACCCTTCCTTCCTATTTTGGCAGGGGGGAGGGGGTATGTAAGAAACAATATGCAAATTTAATATCTTAAGATATACGGACCTACGGAATAGAATTAAACAATCCATCCAGTCCACATCATTTTAATTGATTAGATCACAATAATATTTATAGCCAGTACAAGTTTTAAAGCTCTTTTTAATGTAATTTTCGCCATCTTGGTTTACTTCCTCCATCTTAGATCCAAATATTATTTTCATCATCCTGTTCTCAAAAATCTTTGTTCTTCATTTAGGTTGACCAGGATTAAAGTTGAGTAAAGCAAAGTATCAGCATAACATCGCAGTACTTAATAGTAGCTACTATCATAAGTATCTTCATACAGTGATTGAGATTTGTAAATCCGAAAAGAAAATATGACGCAGTAGAATTTGCTGGAAGACATTTATATGAGGTACTGCTAATGAGACTCACAAGTATCGAAGTAAAGTCACTGGATCTCAGATACTTCAAATGTGACAGTAAGTGTCTAAGCGAATGTTAATGTGCGTTCAGACAGCAAAGCGCAGCGATTTCGTACTGACGAACAATAAACTTCGAAGTCACTTGGATTTTAACGGTCCAGTAGAAAAAATGACTAAAATCAGACTACTGTCTTAGTTTGTTTAAGGGTTAATTAGAGGCGTCGTGTTTGTTTTTAATTTTGTAGGAAAATTTTGCGTCGTAATAAAACCGTTATATTGTTTGAACAGTAGTCTCGAATCGTTCCGTTATAATACATTTAATTACTCGTTTGTAGAATAAAGTAGTGAAGTTAATTTCAGGTTAAACACACACTCGATGCATTACCTTCTCATCTATATCTTCATCGTAATGATGGTTACCATCAAAAATTAACTGCAAATCTCTTCCGCTCATTTCATCGGCCTCGTCTCGTAACTTCTTGTGAACACGAATGCCTACTG